ACTCTTTGTCTCTAAAAACCCCTAAAACAATTGTTTGACTGCGTGACGGTGAATATTGTAGCTGCTTTAAACTTTGAAATTGTATACACTCATGTCTAAACAGTAAAGTCCTTTTTTTTATCAAATTTGGCAAAAAAAACCCCTCATTTTTAGAACAATTTCTGTGGCTTTTCCTATAACGCCTGCAGCACGTCAAAAATAGAGAAATGGTCTTTGCACTCTTTGGACCAGACCTGTCTGGTACGGATTGCTGCGATGCAGACAGACTCTGTGTACAGACTCTCGTCTGTTAACGTGCGCCGTAAAAAAAGACTTGCTGCAGATGGAATCAGTGTGAAACCGGCGTCACTGATGTTAGGGTCAGGCCACTGTGGCAGCCACACCATCCAGTACTTCTTGTTTTTCTTTAACTGAAGATAGTTCTCACTGTCTTTGGCTATACGTATGTTTGTGTTGTTATAAGAATAAAGCAGAATAAAGTCGCCACCAGTGATGCGGCTCTATGATGGCATTGCAGTATAAGTATCTGTCAGTATTTCTCAACATTGGGAACACAATTAATCGTGACAAGAGATCGACCGATATTGGTTTTCCGATGTTTAGAGGTTAGGGTCAGCCAATGGCTGATAAGTGCTGCCGATTTATTTATTTTTTGTGCTGATATCAGGATGATTTTCCCCTTCGTTTTCTGTTAAAAAATCATACAAATAAGTGGATGCACAATACTTTTGAACAAACACCATCATTTATTAAACTGCAATGTATATATATATATAAAACAATAAAATTATTAACTGTTAAAAATACAACAGCCATCAGACAGCATTTACTAAACAGAAGAAACATTTGTAGTTAGCATTTCAGTAGTGTACCTTCACCTTCAGTCTATAATCCCAAGAATACAATACACATTAAAAATCAGCTCTAATTAAAAATATATCGTTAACAGATTGCTTCAAGTTACAAACCAAATGACCATACTTTAGTAATTAAAATAAATAAATAAAAACACATCATGCTGCACAGCTTGTATGCAAAGACAGTGCTAAACCCTTAGACAGGTTTATTGCGATAGCAAATAACAAATACATATAGTCATTAATCAGAACACATCACTTCATTCTTTATTTATTATTTTACAGATCACAACAGAAGCGTTAGGTTAGGGTTAGCAGGTCTATACCTTGTTCTTAAACAATCTAAATATATAATAATTCACCACTGCTGTCTCCACACAGCAGGCTGATGTTTTGCATGTGCGGACACAAATACACACACACTCACGCACACACACGCACACGCACACACACGCACACATACGTACTCAGATATAGAGCCGTTTTGCTCACTGTTGCTCATTGCTATCTGAATAGACTGAACTTCATTGACTGTTCAATGCTATTTGCTTTTATCTTTCACTACGTGAAGCAACTCTTTATAGTTTACAAGTAACATAAAGTAAATATATGGCCATGAGGCTTTGACATCACAATTAAGCCATACCTTTATCTCCCAGGACTATCTTTGAATCTTCTTTTGGCTTGGGGTCCTTCACATTCAGCAGCACGATCCGTAGCATCAATAACACAGGGCTGCCCGCGGATATGCCTGACTTTATATCGGTTCTACTAAACATGGATATTAGCCAATACAGTGGTACCCTTGTGATACAGAATTAATCCATTCCAGGGTGGCGTTCGTATCTCGAACAGTTCGTATCTTGAAGCAAATTTTTCATGTAAAACGCCTAATCCGTGCAACGGCTCTCAGAAACAACAGAATAAGTAGATGAAAAATGGAAAACCAGACAAAAAAATCAAGTAACTTTTCTTCAATCCTTAAATGTAATAAATGATAATAAAACAGAATAAAACACAAGCAAAATATGTAATACATACACAAATGTGAAACCTTTCCTTGAGTGAAGCGATGTTTTGGAGTTCACATTATTGATTAAATATACGTAATGTTTCGCTCAATTTAAAACTGATTAAAGTGTTTTGAAGCGTATCAGACCCTTTTTGCACTGGGAGATAGGAGCGCGAGGACCCGGAAGCACAGCCGACGTCAGACAAACAAGCAGATTATAGAGCAGAACTGTTTTGCCAGTTCAGAGCTGAAGACACAATCTTTCTCTGGGAGAGACCTTGTTGATGCAGCATAACTACCTTTTATCTTGTTACTGTGTTCAATCTTACCCTAACAAATAAACTGTCTTTCTCAACCGCAGCTTGGTATCAGAGTTTAGTTTTTTCACACATATCTAACAACTGTAGCTAATGGTCCTAAAGTTCTAGAGCTATCCACTGTGATCTGTGGCCCTATCAGATCAGGCACCAATATTAAAAAGGAAACAATACATGGATATTCATCATTCAAACTCACTTCAATTACATTTTATCACATGGTACCATAACAAACACATGCACGCATGGCTAGAACACACAAGGCATTAGCACAATAATTCACTTCTTTAACAAAGGTAAAAGCTGGAAATAGATGTTGACTAATTACTGCCTTTGTTCTACGGTACACTTTGAAATTCCGTCTAATATGTCACGACTTCCCATCCAACATTTGAGGTTGTAAATTGATTCCAGGCCAGTGTGAGTTCTTCATGGTCTCTCTCCATCGCTCACTTGAAAAAAAAATCAGCATGTTCCCATTTCCTCCACATGTGCTCAGCACACAGATTCTGAAGTTTTTTTCCAACTTCCCACCTCTGCATTGCAGAAACCATTATCACCACAAAAGTCATTCTGGCATGGTTTGATTAAAGACGGTTCCTATTTTTCAACATAAGAGGTTTTTAATGCTAACAAATAGAATTCAGCTCTACAACCTGCATTAGAATACACCACTCGCTTCGGTGCCCTACCATCATTCCACATCCAGACTTCTTTCCACTCATCTGCACAACCAGACCTATTCATCTCTCACTTCTCCCTGTGCTTGCCCCCTTTCTCTCGTCCCTTAATCCTCCTTTTCATTCAACTTCCTTGGCTTGCTGTTGTTTGCCATCATTCTCTTTCTGTGCTGGTGTTTCTTTGTTAGTTGTTTGGCAGACTTCATGTCCTCTTATCATTTTTGCACACAGACCCCCTGTCGCTCTGTTTTCCAGAGCTGCAACAGAAAAAATAACAATGTAACTGTATAATCACTGGTGCATCAAACATCAAGCTCAAACTCAGCCAAAATGAAATGGGGCAGTATCTGAATCTTCTGAGAGGACGAGCATGTGGAATGGTATTCACTGATGTGACCTTTATAGGGATCTTGAAAAAATGAGTGCACTGATGGTGGTCAGCAGACACTTGAATGTAATTGAATCTACTAAACACCATTGATTTTACATTTGTTAATGCACATAGTAAGAGGTCGACTGAAACGAGTGCCAACGTGTTAAGAAGGATGCGGTCAAAGCAAGGAAGCTCACTTCTTAGTCGCTTCGTCCAGCTCTACCTTTGGTACAGGCCAAATCTTTCCCAGACCTAGAGACTCTTCAACAGGTCCTGGGTCTTTGAAATGGTTGGAACATCTCTGGTTCACATCAACTGGCACCTTCACCAATAAAGGACTACCTGAGCTCCCTAAAATCCACAAGCAGCTTTTCACTGGGTCGATTTAAAATCTCCAGAATATGATTGTTTTTGCTAAAAGTTTAGTGTCAGGTAAGTGAGGTCTTTGTTGACTACTTAAGAACACTCTGAAATACTCCCACCACTTCCCTGCCCCTTAGACATACATATTACCCATTACTATTTACAAATCACCACGAAAACTCACTGTTTCACCTATATTTGGAAATGTGTGTGTGTGTGTCCATATGTTTTATTAGTTTTTAACTTCTTACTAACTTTTAAAACATTAAAATAATAACTTCTTTTAGCAAAGACTGGAATCTAATTATGTATGGGATCAATTTGACAAAAATCTTTCAAACAGTTTGGAAAATCCAATGTAGGCTGCAAATCAGTCACACAAAGTTTTCCCAGCTGTCTCTGTAGACGTTCCTCCCCTCTAAGTTTCAAGTTCATTATTTTCAATCGATGGTGTAATGAAATGCTTTTTATATGTCTCGAACATGACTGACTCTATACAGTGGTACACCGAGATATGAAATTAATCCGTGCCAGAGCGGCGTTCGTATGCCAAACAATTCGTATCTCGAAGCAAGTTTTTCATGTAAAACACCTAATCCGTGCTACGGCTCTCAGGAACAACAGAATAAGTAGATAGAAAATGGAAAACCAGAGAAAAATCAATTTCTTCAATCCTTAAATCTACACATTATTAATGTAATAAATGATAATAAAACCGAATAAAACACAACCAAAACACGTAATATGTTCACAAATGTGAAACCTTACCTTGAGTGAAGCGATGTGTCGGAGGAGGAGGAGGAACAGATGCAGAAAACATTACGGCACCACGTATGAAAGTTAACTTTCTCGAGATATTTCATGAATTACTGACACCAACACAGTTTCAAGCACAAGCGCAGACAGATGGAGAACGCGTCACAGGGTTTCTCTAAGTTGCGCTACAGAACAGCACTTTCCACATTATAAACGTTATTTCTTTTACGACACCTTGACTCTAACATTTGTTATAGTACATTATAAGTAATCTAAACGTAATGTTTCTCTGTGTTGTTGAAGTGTTTTGAAGCGTATCAGCACAACGCGACGTGACCCAGAAGCGCACCGTGACGTCATGATGTCGGGCGGAAAATACAGCAGAACAGCTTGTGAATGTTCGTATCTCAAATTTTTCTTTGGATCTCGAAGCAAAAAATTTCCCATGAGACGTTTCGTATCTCGAAGCATTTGTATCTCTGGGTACCACTGTATCTGAAATTTATGCTCTGCATTTCACCCATCCATATGCACACACACGCACACACACCTGGAGGGCAGCCATAGTTGGGGAAACTGGTCACTTGCTCAAGGCCATAAATATCATCACAGGTGAGAGAGTTTCGACACTCATCCCACCTCCGACTCCCAGTGAAACTGGGGATTGAACCAGCGATCTTTGGATTTCCAGTCCATCACCTGATCCACTAGGCCACGACAGCCACAAAGTGGTGATGGGCTCACCGCTAGTTCCTTGCCAACACAAACCAATGTGGAACAGCCCAGACTTTCTACTAAACAATAGGCCAATACATTTTTTCAAGTTGGCAAAATAAAACATCTTACACAAATCATATTAGACTGTAAAATAATCTCATTCATAGAATTGGCTCTTAATTCTGGAGTAACTACTGACAGATTTCTGGCCCCGAATTGTAAAATGAATAAATCCTAATAATATTTACTGATAACCCTTAAATTATTATACATGTATAATATCATTGCCCCAGTTCCTTGGAGTGCATTTGTCTTTTAGAAAGATTTCCTCGTTCTCTAACATCTGTGTTTTTTCACAGAAGGTCCTTAGTGTATCATGACAAGTATCTCTCATATGACCTTAGACATGAATGCAACAGTTCCCGTAGATAACAGATTGATGAGGTTATCAATCACAAACATGTTGTGATCAGACTTGGGAACGGATCTGGCAGCGAGATCTGAAGATCAACTTACCTCCTGGTGAGGACGGAATACATGCTTACTGCTGTGGTACTTCTTCGTTGTATTCCAAATATTTCTCTTTGACTGCATCAGAGGAATCCAAGGCTCTGCATGAACGTTACTCTGAGCTGCGAATAAGTCTTTGAATCGGAGGCTAAAAACCGAGCTGAGTAAATGTTTCTACAGCTGTTCTCAAGCTGTGCTGTTAGTGTGTGCTGGACCTCTCTTCAAGCCACTGGATCAACTCTCAACAGCTAGAGTCATTCATAAAACACACTGTGTATCCGAAAAGCACCAAACCATCACCTGGGAACTTGTCACCACAAAAATCGTCCCGTGAGCCAGTCAGCACTTCCCAATTTATGAGCTGCGATTACATGCTTTTGAAATGCATCAAAATATCGTTTCATATTCATTCGGAGAATTTTACATTCAAAATAGCCAAGATTTATGGGACATTTATTCTTCTTTACCAGCACCTCTTTACAGAATGCCCTTCTTGAAAATCAATTCAGATGCTTCATTGACCAAGATTTGATAGCAGTCCAAACGTTACTCCCAGATTTTATTTTCCTGCATTAAAACTAACAATCTAGAACTGCTTTAAATGTTCTGCGCCCCAGAGCCCCATAGAGTGGGACTATAGAGGCATTCATAATGGTTTTCCATACATTAGCATGGTATCACAAGAATTAACAGCAGGATATTTCCTCATCACATTGCAAACATGATAAATTCCTGCCATATTACCTGCAAAATGTTTTTCCTTTTTTTCGTCGTTATAAATTTGAGTGAATCTCAACGACTAAGCAATGAATTCACTCAGAATACATTTACTGTGGTTTAAAAGCAGCTTTTTTACATGTACAATTTTGAGGGATAAAGATATGAAGTGTCTGAATTTAGAAAAATATTTGGAGAAAAAAAAAGATTTTCCTTTTTTCATGGTTTATTATTAAGATTGACTAAACTCCACATACATTATTAAAATCTAGGATATAAAGGTTATATTAATGTATGACAAATATAAAAATACTGCAATGCTACACAGCAGCTAAAAAAAACACGCTCTGGCGGACTTGGTACCAATTCAGGTCATAAAGGGTTAAAGTGAAAAAGTGTACCCTATGTTCTATATATTACATTTTTGGGGGGAGAAACATAGCAGTAAAAGCTATCCTCAACAATGTTGTATGTGAAACAGCATTTGTCTTACGCTTAATTCAATGCCACAGAACAAACGTTTTTAAAAATACACAATACATACATAATACATGTAATATACACAGTCAAAAACGTACAGGCACTCACTGGTCAATTTATTAGGTACACCTTCTTAGTACCGGTCTGAATGCAAAACTCTTTCAGAACTGCCTTAATCCTTTGTGGAACAGGTTCATTGAGGTCCTGAAAACATTCCTCAGAACGTTTTGTCCATATTGACCTGAGAGCTTCATGCAGCTGCGGCTAATTTGTTGGCTTTGCATCCATGATGCTAATCTCCCATTCCACCACATCCCAAAGGTGGTCTACTTGATGACTGAGCAGGCAATGTGAGTACAGGGAACTCATCATAATGTTTAAGAAACCAGTCATGATTCGTGCTTTATGGCATTGAACATTTTTCCTGCTGCAAGTAGCATTTGAAGATGGGCACACAGTGGTCATAAAGGGATGGACCTGGTCAGCAACTACTGGTACTAATTAACCCAAAGTGTGCAAGAAAATATCCCCCACACCATGACATCTCCACCACCAGCCTGAGTCGTTGCACTGCCGGATGGATCCATGCAGCAGAAATCGAGTCTCATCAGATTCTCTGAAAACCCTGGAGATGGTTATGTGTGCCACAACCGTGCCATGTTTAGTCACATAAATCATCTTTCTTCACCATTCTCGGTCTGAATTGAGTGGATCATCTTGACCATGTCTACATGCCTATCTGCATTCAGTCACTGCCATGTGATTGGCTGATTAGAAATTGCCATTAATGAGCAGTTGGACAGGTCTACCTTATAAAGTGGTCGATGTGTATATAAGCATTAGCAATGAAATTGCTCTCAAGCTTGATATAAAGGTCGAAGTAAACATTTAATAAACATGATTTATTCATATGAATAAACACACGCTGCAGATGCTAAACATCAAAGACATGCAAGCAAAGAAAACCAGGTGTAAACTGGTCTTCATCCTCCTTTCAGCAACCTTGTGTATCCGACAACTGTTCACATGCTGCAGGGATGTCCTTCTTGGAATAGGTACATAGTTCTTTAGACATCGTTTTGTCTAATCAAAAAAGGGATAGAGATACAATGTGAAGCAATCCAACTGGAAGAAAATTTCTCGCCAGTACTGCCATAGTGCTGTAGTGTACTGTTATATATAGCTAATGATATGTTTTGGCCAGACATTCGCCAGCAAATTTCGACACCAAAAATAGAGCACCTTGAAAAAGTGGAGGGCCCAAGAAGTACTCCTTTAACAATTTAAGGCGCAGGTTCGGGTCGCCGGGTGATAGCAAGGATAGTGAGGAGTGAGATTGAAAGTACAGAGTATCTATTTAAATATCAGGAAGGTACTGCACATTACTCTAAATGCTTCTCTTTCAGTGGTGGTTGTCTAGGAGAGCATGGCGAACCAGACCACGCCCTCACACACCCATCCAACTCTCGTGAGAAATCAGAACCCAAAGGTGATTACCGCAATCTAAAGATTCAAGGGTGGTTTGGCTCCCCCCTGCTTCACCCGACAATCCTCCCCTTCCTGGACAGAGAAGAAAGCACAATAGTCGTTCATTTTCCAACCCGCTTATTCCCTTTTGGGGTCACGGGGGTCTGCCGGATCTTCAGCGCACATTGGGCGAGAGGCGGATGTACACCCTAGACAGGTTGCCAGTCAGTCATGCCACTTCGGAGCAGGGAGACTAAGGACTGGTATTCTCATGATTATTTTTAGGAACCCTTTTATGTGTTTACATTAAAGAGACAGAGACATTAAAGAAAGGAGCCAGACTAGAGATAACAAGCATGGAGGTAAGCATACGCCTCCCTAACAAAAGCGGCACCAAGAGGAGAATTGACTTAGCGTTCTGGCTTAGACAGGCCCGTGTGAGCTCACTTCAAAGTGGGCGGAGTTTAGCTGAGGCGAAACAATCCCGACTCCAAAGTTTACGGAAGGCAAAACAGCAGTGCTGATCTGTGAACATGCAAAAATAGACTATAAAACATTTCTGACACGCTCGTAGGATCATTACAAGTATGAATAACACAATCGAGAGTTGAAGGAACAGCGTATATTCATGAACCGGCATGAAGATTTTGGAAGGATCATTTAGAGCGGGCATTGCCTTCAAGCGTACACACACACCACACCAACAACAAATTGATCACAAGCACTGGGAGTGAAAAAGACATTGAAGCACACGGTTGCTTTCTTTAGGAAATCCTTCACAAATATCTTTAAATCCAACAAGTGCTTATCAGCATCCACCAGTCTGAGAGGGCAACATCCACTTTCCATTCATCCTCACCTTGTACTTTTTGCATACAAACCCATTTGCAAGTAAAAATATCAGTGTTCACTGAAACCAAATGCGACCTTTGATAAAACTCAAGAGCACCACAGAATACCTCTAAACCAGTTCAACTGCGAATCTCTAATGTCCTGTGCCTCATAATTGTTAGCTCTTTTGCTCAAACTGACAGCTCTTGAACCATTTCCCCAACTGTTTAGCTTGAAGGTTTCACAGACTGTGATTTCGCCTGTAGGGGAGTGCACTTGAATTAGGATGCATTACATCTTAACTGAAGTCCCTGGAAGTCCAGTTGCTCTTTATAAAGAAGGGCCATCAGGTTGACAAAAAGCAGCGCTTTAAAAAGCATCTGGACAGCCCCAGTGATCTAGAGCCAGGAGCAGCTAAAGGTTAAAAGCGGCAGAGCCACACAGATACATTCTTCAAGGGGCGAGTAATGGGATCAGAGCTTCTATTACTCTTCTGAAGAGCCAATCCTCCCTCGCTTTCCCTGGTTAGTGCTCAAAGGGACGTCAGTGCCATGTGGAGGCAGGGTGGACGTTTTAAATGCTTTCTTCCTGTGATGCTCTTTTCTGGGCTGAAACTCAATTTCCACGGTGCGCTGGAGAGGACGCTATTTGAAATAAAGATAATTTAATAGAAGTCACATGACTTGCTTTAGAAGGAATGATTGAAGCAGCTTTCATTTCAGCCTTCCCAAAAGGCTCTGTCAACCACTTTTAACAATTGGACGAATGCAGTGATAAGTTGTGTTGTTTTTAACACATCATTCATCTTTAAAATCAACTGGAACAACTTGCTGAGTGACTCAACACAACCACGACTCTTATCAATGTCTCGTTTGGTCTTCATCTTGAGTTGCTTTTTCCCAGATGGCCCTGAGGCAAAGTCAAACTCTTATATTGAAGCGGTGCCTGAGAAAACCCAGAGCACAGGCTCATTCAAAACAAACTTGACCCCTCACCCCTGT